CTGAACTATCGCATTGCCGCTCATTTACATACATTGTTTCTCTAGAGATCAATATATGCTTTGCTATAGCAGTATAGGGTTGCCATCTTCGAAGACAAATCTTTCTGCACAAGTCTGTAGGTTCGCTTTATTTCAATGGGATACTTCCTTTTGGACGGGGTTACGGATTGATCGCTTACGTAGATGACACAGCTTTGACACTTCGTCTGTTTCCTTGAACCTATGCTAATCAATCGACAAAATGTCTATGTTCTAAATAGCAGAGACTCTTATGAATGCCTGTATTTAAAGTAGTCGCGTGTTACCGACGGAACCTGATTGTGAGGATGCAGATGGTTTGAGGTGTGTAGAATGACACTCTGTAACGAGGTCGCTTCACGAGATGGTATCATTTTGGATATTAGATGGTGTCATCGAAACTTTTCATAATCAGTTGATAACTTATGTAATTTACTCGTATTCGAAAATCTTTGAACAATACTTTTGCATGTAGAAAGTATATAGTTGAATTCGGAATGGAATGATCGATTCGACAGCGCACTCGTTTGGTTGTGTACGTTGCCAGAAACTAAGAGATTTGTCAGCGATTTGCTAACGTGTTAGCGATTTGAGAATTTAGCCCGCTGTTGGTTGCGTAAGATGCATTTGCATGCGACAACTACACGCATACTACCAGCTTCCGTAAACGAATCTATCATATATGTCATTTGTCAGATGTGTGCAGATTTCGGCACCAGAGNGGGATGAGATGTATATCATATTGTAGGGCTCATATAGCTGATTATGAATATGCAATAATTTTTTGCGTCGTCAAAGGAGACGCGGGATATGGCCGGAAGAAGATTTTCAGTGCATTGAAGTGAGACTATGTCAATGAATGATCCACATTGTTTATGCTACCAATTCCAAAAACGGCTCAAAGAACGGACTTGTGACCATAAAGTTATCATCGCACAACAATCGTTAGCTTTGATCAGTTATGCGACTGATGTGACTGGTCAGCTTACAATGATTACTGCTGCGAGTAGGAAAACTCCGAAAATGATGAAAGTAAGTGTCACTATGAGCCGACCGAGCGACCGAGCGACATGGTCACTGAACGTATCGCCTTAAATTTGTGAACTACTCATATGTGTTAGTAGATGATTTTGGAACTGTTGAATGTTTTCATTGGTTACCACTGAATATGAAATAGTCACGAAAATGGAACAACATCAATCTATCCGATTTTTCCAACTGTATTTCTATTTGCAAATTGAACATAATTCATAAATAATGAGATTTTTGTGACCTCCAACAAAGTATNATTTTAATTACTCGTTTTTAGGTCACAACATACAGTGAATAAGATGAACTGTTAAGAGTATCATTATTGCTACAAAATTCTGGCTATTCTCAGTGCTCTTCGAAACATTTTTAATGGTTATCGCGAAGAAAATTTTACTCATTTTCTTCATGGAGCTCATTTTCAGTCAATATCTACCATAAAGGCGCCTATTTTCTATAGCCAAGTTGATGTTTTGCGTCTGATTTTTGGCCTCAAATATTAAAGATGCTAGCAATGTTATGACTATCGCTCGCCCTACTGAATGAGATCTTGAAGAAACTGTGATTATCGTTTGCGTAAAGCTAGGAAGCCTTTGTTGGCTTAATTACACACTAAGGGTTGCTGTCTCGGTCGTAATTTTCCAAATCCAGCAGTTTTCAGTGTAGCAATTTCATAAGAAGCTGAAATCATGCTGATGAATTCATTGTTTATACTTCAACTCTAAAATTTGTTTCTAATTTGCAATTCACTTCACTATCATGAAGTAGTAAATTTCATATGTTTTATCGTCAATCAGTTGTTATGCAACAAAATCGATCAATCTTAATTAGCAAAAGTGCGGGCGGGCGGCTAAAATTTTGGTTCATACGCGAAAAATTAGAAGAAAGTTGAAGAAAGAAATCGAACTCAAAATTTGCTATGAATTTAGGTCACTCGCTATATGCGACTATCAGAAATGATATCAATCTGCGAGTGAGTTGTCAATTTTAAGGTCAACATCGCTGCTATTCTTTCGGTTTGCTTTCATTGTTCAATGGATGTACTTACCGCATGATCTAGAAACATCGCTGTCCGAAAGTCCTTCACCTTTTGCGTGAAATTCTCGTTTCATTCGCCAATTCAGTCTTATCTGTTCATTTGCACCGTTAATATCGTTATTATCTAATCAACGCTATTCACTTCCCATTGTTCAGCTGTACACTTACTTGTTTGTTGGTTTTGAAACGATCTTAGTCTTTCTTTCAGAAATTCTTTTAATGTTATTCCCATCATTATCATTATAATTATCATTAATTACATAAGCGAAATTCCTTTACTAAATGTATATACAGGTTGAATAATTGTAAACGAAATGATTTNNNNTGTCTGGCTACGATCATTCGGTTACATGGGTTGAATCTGAAAAAAGCAAACAATTGAGTTATCAGCTGCTAAAAGTTGTATACATTTTTGAGATACTCTGTATATTGGCTGCTTACTCCCCTATTTCAAAGTAAAGCAACTTTTATTGTTTGTTGATACATCGTAGTTGATCAATTCAGTGTAAATTTCGTACATTCCCTTAACGAACTGAATGATGATGTGCCTCGCGATTAGAACAGTTTTTGAGAAACTCTAATGCTGTTTGGATTCGATTCATTTCAATTGAGCTATACTCGTGTTCATGTAATGAGCTTCATATTACAGGTGAAGATTTTGTATGCTGCATCGAGTTTGTTGAAAATTCTCCGATAGTGAATACAATGGTAATGAAAGGTACGCATCTGAATAGTTTCGTTGATGAATGCAATTTAATTTGTTCTAAAATATTATCACTGATGTGATTTTGATGATTCCAAATGATTGATGTATACACACTTGACGAACTTCATGAATAATCCGAAGCAACTCTGAAGCCATATGCAGAAGAATTTATGATCTCTTGCAATCGCTAACTAAACATTCATCCATCATGACCTCATGCAGATCGAAATCTATGAACCTTGGCCATTTTTTGCTCACTGTCTTGAATTGAGCCATACTCATATTCAAGTGGTCAGCCTCATATCACAAGTGAAGANCTTTGGCCATTTTTTGCTCACTGCCTTGAATTGAGCCATACTCATATTCAAGTGGTCAGCCTCATATCACAAGTGAAGATCAGAAGAAAATCAGAAGAAAAAACATTTTTACAAGAATTTCTTGAAAATTTTCATTGCCCACTTTTACTGCCTTACATTTAAGTTGGATCTCTTCTGTGTTTCGTCGCTGTGTTTTGTTCGTTGATCTGCGGCGAGCAGGTGATTAGCAATGATTCAAAGACAGCAAAGGAGAACACAACTTCTGTTCCATCAGTTTCGGTTGAATATGATGGAAAAAAATTGGAATTACTGGTTCGTCAACAAGCTGGTATTCAGTTGTTCGAACATTGGACTCAACAAGCTTTAGCTGCTTTCATCGCATCATACGCAAACGAAAAGTTTGTTTGTTTTTTCTCGATTCAAATCGCTAAAAATTTTATGAAGTGAGTAATTTCTTAAAATACTGACTAATTTAACGTCATATATGTTTTTTTTTGCGCATTTTTTAACGAAAAAAAATTTGGGTCAAGGTTCAACGTCAGTCATTTCCGAATTGCTGCTCTAGTTGTTGGAATATTTTCTTCTGCATTTCAGAAGCAAACATTTGAATTATTTCCGACGAAACGAATACGACTCATGTATTCGTGATGCCAGCAGCACACTCAAAGATTTAGCAAAATGTGCCAAAGGCGTTGTGGATTCGAGGAAAACGCCATCATTCAAAAGTATGAAAATTTTTGCTACTTTTCAAATTTTTTTTCAGAAATTATTTTTCTTGTTGCATCAGCACATCAACACATTATATCACCTTCAGCATGTGCTAGGAATTTCCGAAAGTTGTGCTTAATTATCCGTTAGATGATCTTGAAATCATGAAGCTTATGAAATATTCAACGGACGCTTGATCAGAGGACTCAATATAAGATGCATAAACTCGGATCATATCTGCCATGTGATCAACGTCGTCGTCGCACTATTTCCATCTAAATAATTTGAATCGTATTCACCTCATAATTAATTCGACTCATCCGGATTATTCGTTTTCTCTATGCTTCCTTATGACGAATGAATGCACGAAAAAAAATCTCCATCTTTCAGATAACTTAACGATGAAAAAAATCGATGGACAATCCTCAGAAATTGACCAATCCTCTTCGATATCCAGCAAAGATTCCGAATCTTCCAACACATTCACTGAAAAGTCACAATCGAAATCAATGAAATATCTGAAAAAGTCGAAGCATAACGATGAAAAAATCTTAGTTGAATTTAACAATACCACTCTATCCGAAGATGCTCTCGATGAAAGCGCTAACAACAGCACCACCACCATCAACAGTGATTCCTCTGATTTTGATTTGATTGATTCCATGGAAGATGAGGAGCAGAGTGCAGAGAAGAACATTGAAAAACTGCACGAAGTCAAAAAACGTGTGAAAGGTTCCAAAATGGAAATTCTGCAAAAGTTGAATATGCGACGGAGAATAGCACCGATAAATGTTCACAAAGCCGACAAATTCAATCGTATGCTACCCGGCAAGCAAAAACACAACGACGAAAAGGAAATGGGTGATCAACTCCGTTTGGTGAGAAACAAGCGAAAAGTAGTGTCAAAATCTGAATATGAATTGCTCAACGAGGACGCTGGTCGTACACCGCTAGGTGTTTTGGCTCGTTCTTTGAGGAATCTCATTCATGAAGTGAAAGGAATGGCAAGGTGGGCGCATTTCAGTCTCACTGGCTTTCAATCTTAAATTTTCGTTCGCCAGATCTTCCGGATGAGCTCAGAGTTTTGCTCTGCTTGCTATACAATTCAGGCTTCGGTAATGATTAAAAGAATTCATTGAGTGGATTTAGCATCTTCCTCATTCATTCCATCAATCACTTGAATCTGCTGCCTGAATGTGACAGAATACTCTTGATGTGCACGATTTTCACGCTGTTAAACGATCAGAAATNCCAAGCCAGCTGTAGGATTTTGACCAGCATGAAGCCAAGAAAACTGAACTCTTTAACAAAATAAACCCTTAAATCATGGTTTTTTTCTACTGCAGCAAAGATTTGAATGTTGCGGAGAAAATCACCAAGGAAACAACGAATCGCACTGAAGAGATGTTGACGAATGAGGAACGTCAGGCTGAAGAAAGTCTGTCAGAAGCGTTGGTGATTCCATTCGAAATCATCAGTGAAGCGCTTAAATTGGGTTTGGTTGCTGCCGAACATTCGAATGCAACCGACGGCGATAACGGTGATGACAGCGGTTCATTGGCCAGAGAGATTGCATCGGATTTTGTGGAAATCTCAACTGCAAACAACACAGACGTTCAACAAATTGTGAGAAATCATAATATTTGTTGGAGAGTTGACTGCAAGAGGAGTCCGCCAGTAGGATTTGACAAACGCAAATGACATACGAGTTGTTGAATGCTAGGATATTCAGAGCATGACTTGAATTTCTGGGAATTTTTGACCGAAAAATACTTTATTTGTCGAGAAATCACATGATCATCAATTGCTCTAATGATCAATCAAATTGCACTGCTTGTACACGATATCTGATAGTTCTTTTTCCGTCAAGCAAATGAATTCAGCCCCAAAATGTTACTGCAAAATAGAGATGTAAAGGGATTTTGCCGAGTCGGTCTACGTTAATGAATTGTTAATGAATTGTTCGTCTAGGATCTGCCATCGTTCCTGAGCAATCGACCGACCGCAACTATGGATCAGCATGAGTTGTTGAAGCTTTTAGCCGAAGTATCGTCCATTCCTGGCATTGGACAAAAGCACAAAAAAACAAATGAATTGAAGAAAACCGAAGAAGTATGCGCAAGTTTCTGTTGTTTTTCAGTGACTGGTAATCGGATCTCTATGTCACACTCATTGTCAGTGTCAACTTTTCTTCTCCCGTCATTTAGAAAACCGAAAACTGCAGCCAATATCTCAAAATCACTATCAATGATAAAATTCCGCTGCAATCAATAATTCACCAGTGTAATTCAGTTTCAATGTTTTGAGAGCTTTCAGCAATCTGAATCAAATGGGACTGAAACTGCTGAGAAAAGAGAATGTGCGATGTGCATCGAAGAATTAGGTCTACGAGGTCAGCCTCTGTATTTTACGAAACAAAACATCAGCATTGGAGGGAGGATGGAACGAATTGTTGGACTATTCCAGAAATTGCATACGATTACTGGAAACGAGCAGGTTAGCATGACTGATCTGTCGAGATCACAATTCTTTGAGTGTTCAAATACTATTTACATTCACGTACAGTGCTCTTAGAAATTCCTATTAATTTCAAATTTTACGAAGAAACTGAGTACGATCTTAAATTATTTACACTATGAAATTCACACAACATACACAAATCATATCGGGTAAGTTCTGATTGGAGTGAGATCGTTTCAAACGATTTTTTTTCATGCTTCTTTTAACCAGTTATTCGAGTCTCACTGTGCATCCCTTTATTATTAATGTACCTTATTGCACGGAGTCCATAATTTTCTGTGCATACCATGCGATTGCACATCCATTCATAAATCACTTCGAATCAACTGGAATTGAATGATCTGAGCTTGAACTTGATCATTCCTTACATAACTTTTCCATCACTGATCACTTTTCAGATCGAACAACTCAACACATTGGGCTACTCAACGCTAACTAAACTACAAGTTAAACTTGTTTACGGAAGTAATTCGCCTTTCCAAAGCCGTGAAGCATTTCAACGTTACGTGAATGCAGATGCGCAACATTTGCAGCGATACGTTGAAAGGGATTTGGAATTGATCGCAGAAGCGCAGCAGATAACGCTGGCAAACGAGAACTCACCTGAAGATTGGCTAGCCCAAGGAATTGTGCCTCAGCTGAAAGTCCGTTCACCTAAGGGCGACCGAGAAGAAGACCAAATGAAACGGCTCTATATCCTATCGCGCATAATTTTATCGCCTATAGCCATGATGCCATCTGTCGTTGGGCCTTACCTGCTCAATCCATGGCTGTTCTCACCGTTGTTGACAAGTGCAATTGTGAACGTTCCGTTCATTCTGCATCCGCAGCGATTCCCCGCACTTCCATTCTCACCTCTAATCTATCGTCCGAATATCCTTGTTTTAGGCGTTGTCGACACCAGTTATGATCCATCGAAACGGTTTTCAGCGCAAGTGATACCCTTAGACTCGTTACCTTCCACAATGCTTTCACAGTTGATCGTCAATCCAGATCTATTCGTCTCATCTGTTTCACTCAAAAATGAAACTCAACCGGACGTTTTCACGAATCAAACTGTTAATTTGACGCCTCAATTCATCTATTCGCTGATGTTCCCGAATAAGTTGAACGGACCATCATCGTTGAAGTCATCCTCGTTGATGCCAACCACATCAACACCTTCATCATTTATTGTTTCAGATGATGACTGATGTAGCTGTACTCTATTGTTATCAATTATTGGTTATTGCTGATAATGAAGACAAGATGCAATTTCGATTGCTCTTGTGTAATAAGTGACAAATGTTTGTGCGTGTATGTGTGATCATTCCATCAATTGTTTCGTCTGATCTGTCTCAATATAATAAAAACCAATGAACTGAAACAATGATCGCAAACTCGACACAACCACTCGGTGGAGGCTGAATGGTCTTCGCGATATCTCAAGGGTCAACCACTACTGGTAATTGGTACTTCGCGGGTTCGACAATTGCTCCATGCGTAAAATGATGCTGTGGAAAAGATAATAAAAA